TACAACCTCACCGTGTATGACATGGGCTGTAAGGATGTTGACTGCTACATGTGGCATGAGGGGGGAGGTGGCCGTGGATCTTCTGAGATCAGCACATGTGTTCACATGTACCTTAAAGGACTTAGTCCTCAAGTGAAACATGTTGTTCTGTACTCAGACACTTGTGGGGGACAGAACAGAAATGCAGCCTTCAGCACTATGTGCTTGCATGCTGTGAGCTCGCTGCCTCTCTCAACAATTGACCACAAGTTCATGGAGTCGGGGCACAGCCAAATGGAATGCGACAGTGTGCATGCCGCAGTAGAAACTGCAAGGCGCAAAGTGTGCATCTACTCCCCTGATGGGTATTACACACTGGTGAGGATGGCAAGGCAGGGAAACCCATACCGTGTGAATGAGCTTCTGCATAAGGATTTCCTTGATTTCAAATCCCTCTCCAACCTCACGGTGAAGAACAGATCAAAAGATGAGGAGGGACAAGCTGTCCATTGGCAGAAGATAAAGTGGTTCCGCTACACGAAAGAAGACCCGAAGACAATCTACTTCAAGTATGATGTCACTGCCCCAACTTTCAAAAAGATGATGGTACGCCTACCAACCAGAGCCACAAGCACCATACAATCACCAAGCTCACTGTATGAAAGCCCCCCAGGCATAAATGCCTGGAAAAAAAAGGATCTCCTCAGCCTTTGCACCAATAGGAGTATTCCTAATTACTATGCAGAGTTTTACAACTCCCTGAAAGTAGTAGGCACTGATACTACAGATGTGTAGTTGACTAGGGGAATGTGTAAACATGACGCATTAAATTAAATGTTAGAGTTAAAGAACTTAAATGTTAAATGTCAAAAATTAAATGTCAAAGTTTTACATGTTTAAATGTTTTAAGGTGAACTAACTGGTTAACTGAATAACTGTTTTAAATGAAATACATATTTTTTCTGTCATGACTCAGAATTGAAACAGGTCTATCTCATTTTGGCCACGCCCAGGCTAAATAAATGAAATATTAATAAATGATAATAATAGCAAAAATAATAAAATAAGACTTTTTTTCTTATGAATGTCAAGTGTTTGAAGCCAATATTTTGTATGTAAATCAGCAGATACGCCTTATTTTCTTTACAAATTCTGTATATGCTTGGTGTCAAAAGGGCGTATCTGCTGTTTTTTACCTATTTTTTATGATTTTGTAATGTTTTACAATATGTTATTTGCTTTAATATATCATAATCTGTTTACTGAACTACTACTTAATACAAGTATGTATGTGGGTGCAATGTTGACGTTGAAGGTTAATAAATACAGTTGATTAAAGTTTGGTCATAATTTTGTTTTCGCTCTCCTGTAAAGTTGGTCAAATGCCACTTACGCCCCTCTGGCTCCAAACCCTCGATATACAAAGTGCATTTTAACAGAAACGTTATTCAACATCCTACCAGTTGGGGGCAGACATGAGCTCTTCCTGCTCATTGTCTACCAAAGACTCATAAGACAAATCAAAAACTGCGCATGCGTCTACCTCTGGTTTGTTCGACCTCTACAACAGACCGGTGAGTGCTAACCTCCTCTTAGAGGAATTTAATTTCAAATACATTTATAAGTTAATTTTTCGATGTTTTGTGGCTCGATCATTTGTGGCACTGCTTCTTCTTCTTGATGTCTAAATTACATCTTTCCGCAACATTGTGCGTTTTTTAACAGCCTAGCTTGACCTTTTTTTTCATGTCAGCTGAAACGTAATAATTTGTCTTCTCATATACCAGAGGGAATCTATCCTACTTATTGAGCTTTAAAGCGTTTTGTTTCATCTCTTTTTCAGACGTTAGATATCCGCTAGCTGCTCCACCGGATCCGACCCAGTCGACCCATCATAATGTATGCCTGTGCTAAGTTCGTCTCCACGCCCTCTCTGGTGAGTTCACACAAATGAATGGCGACTTATCAAAGCTACAAGCGTTTAAAAACGCATTTTCACCGGGGAACGTTGAGCAGCATAGTCGTTTGTTGTCTAAAAGGACAGAACGGTCAATGGCTAGCTAGCTAGCTAGCGCTGCTAACATACTGTCTTTGACCCTCTGCTAAAGTCTGCTACGCTCACACCTGCAAGGACGAAACGGTTTCAGTCCGGACAAACCACCACCGGTCTATTCAGGCCACATGGAGAACAGTGCTTATGAGGCTGACATAAATATACATTCAATCTAAATAAGTGTGGCGTTAATCAAAAGGCCTAATTAAAGTTAAGAAGTTTTAAGGACATTAAACCAAGATAACTTTTGGTGCTTGTTGCTAATCCCCATGGAGTTCAATGTATGATTTTTACACAGCAAATACAATATTAAAGTACTTATCAGTTTCCACTGATTTATTTAGACTAGATGAAAATGTTAATTCTTAAATAATAGTTGAATTAATATAATCCTCTTCTGTTGTTCAATTAGCTAGCTGTAATCATTTTGTTCTTTAAGCAATTCTTAAACTTTGTTGCTTTTTTTCTCTCGCCATGCTTTTCCCCACTTCTTAGGTCCGTGCTGGATCCAGGGCAATGTATAGACCCCTCTCAGCGGCAGTGCTCTCAGACAGCAGGAAATCAGAGGTGAGGACAGTCTTGAGGCACATTTGGGAAGCAAGAAGGCATTAGAGCTCATTTGGTCTTTTGTTTTTCCATGCAAATAGTGAACAGTTAGCTTTATAAGTATTGATGATAAACTATTTTGTACCTGTGAAAAGTTTTGACTTGGACAACTGATCAGCTTGGTGCGCTAGGAGATGTGATGGAGGGATTAGATGATTTAATTTAGGAACAATCTGTAACATTTGAGTTGAATTTTAGCTTGCTTGTGTGTGAAACACAACGTACTTCTGCTGAAACAAATGCCCCCTCTACATGAGGTTAACTGAACCTTGCTAAAGCAGCAACAATGGACTGTTGTCTGGCATGACAAACTGAAACCAATTTTTTTCTCTGGTTTAAAAAGCAGAGGCTTGCGAAATGTCTGTATTTTATTTTACTAAAAGCTCAAGATTACAGTGTAACCCCATTTATATTTTCACTTAATAATCCAGCTTAAATTAATGCTAGGGACAAAGTCTTAATTCATTCAAAGTAGAGGCATTGTAGTTATCTTTCAGTATAAAGTAATTTCACTTCGAAAAATTATTTGTCTATACGAAAAATGTATCTTTGTTTTATTCTAACAGGATCTTAGGAGGTAAAAATGACCAAACTGTTTGAAATTTTAATAGACTTTTTTTAATATATATACCCAGCCAGTTGGTGATTGCTTTTATGTTACAAATTATGTATATTTATATTTCCATGTGCAACTTTTAGCTTTGCAATATTTGTCTCTAAACTCTGTCTTTGCTTCCCTGAGTAGTTAAGTGATGGCTATTGCAGTTGAATTTTTACACTAGTTTTAAACGATAGATATTGGTTCACATCCTAGTCCCCTGTTCATATCTAAGTACAACTCACTCAGACATACATCTTTCTGTTCTCTGGCTGCACTACAGCACCGACTTCAAGCATCACCAAGTTGGTGTCTTGAAGCAAATGGGTTAAACAGATGAGGCTCTGGCCTACCAGCAGTGTCAAGTGGTTGTAATAAATTTCTACATGACCTTACTACAGGCAATCCGCTCCTCACTCTCCATGCTTGCTACACTTTATTTTTATTTATTTAACAAAGCTTGTCTAGGAGGGGTTTATGTATTTTTTGTTTTGTATGGAGTGACATAAAGTTTAAATGATGGACTGAACAACAGCATCCTTAAACTCTTCAGTTTGAGTTGGTGATAATTTGTATTTATATTTTCGGTATAAATATTATTGAAAACAAAAATACAATTGCATTGAAATTGCATTTAAAGGATTATAAAAAATTAAAGGGTCTGTTTTTTTTTTTTTTTTTTTGTGGTTTACAGACTGCTTCACTCCTTGCACCAAGTCCTGCAGCCTCTCAGCAGCAGGTTGCAGTGCGGGGATTCCAGACCAGCGCTGTGAGCCGTGATATTGACACAGCTGCAAAGTTCATTGGAGCAGGAGCTGCCACTGTTGGAGTGGCCGGATCTGGAGCTGGTATTGGAACAGTCTTCGGCAGTCTCATTATTGGATATGCGAGGTATGATTAGACTTTTCTTGAAGTTAAATTGAATTGTTGTACTTTTTAAATCCCTGTTTAGTTGTTGGCCCTCTATAAAAAAAACAACCTGGCCAAAGAACGTTTTATATTTGGGTGTTGGTTTAATCGTCTTAAGCTTCTGCTCAGTTTCGCAGGATGCTTATTTTGAAATAAAGGCCAAAGGGACAGACGCTTTAGTATGTAGGATTTACCTTTAAAGGAAAATTATATTCTATATTTTTACACTCTAAGACAGAAGTCATGGAAACATTTAACTTATTTATTTCTGAAGGTTTGTATAACAAATCAATTCTTAAACTGTAAAATTTTTTAAAACAATTGTATCATTTTACTATAATTTAACTGCTTTGCTCCCTTCTTAACAGGAACCCATCACTGAAGCAGCAGCTGTTCTCTTATGCCATCTTGGGCTTCGCCCTGTCTGAAGCTATGGGTCTCTTCTGTCTGATGGTTGCATTCCTCATTCTCTTTGCCATGTAAACACCTTGGCCCTTACTGTACCAGGACGCATCAAAAAGTTCAAGAGTCAGCAGTTGGAATAGAATGATTTCAGCTCGGTGTATTGTTTAAATCTTATCAGCGTTCCTTGCAAGATTGCTACTCTGTTGAGAACCTCTGCTAAACTCAAATCATTGTCATGATGGGTCTAATCTACTGTGTATTTAATTAAAGGGTTTGTTGACGAACATGCAGCCTAAAACAGAAGTAAAACACTTAATTCTTCATCTGCTTTTGTGGTTTTTTTTTTTTTTTTGTTATAGAGACATGGTCCTAGGAGTACTGTCATTTTTATTTATTATAGATATTTTCACTAAACTTATGGTCTTACTTCCACTTAAGAACAGAAAAAATTGAGGTTTTGGTATGTTACAAAAATTTTATGGAAAAAAAAGGCTTTTTTTGTTCTCAACAAAAAGAACAAACTGTGGTGCCTTTTGGAGAAGATATTAAAAGGTATGGGTTAAGGCTTCAGCTATATTGAAAGGGGAGATTACAGTTGGCTATCAGAATTACTTTATTAATCCCTTGTGGGAAATTCTTTTACGGTGCAACAGCTTACAGAAGATGGAAGCATAACATTGTAAGTACAATAGAGCAAAATAAAATATAAGAATGTATGAAGTAACTAAATTTAAAAGCCACTCAATAAAATTACACCCTTCAAATATAAACAGTGTAAAATAAGAATAAGATATGGATCTCATTATATACAATCAACAGTATTAACAATGGTGCTTAGTACCATCAGTTTGGACACTTGTTCCACAGCAGCAGTGCATCAGAGGCATGCTCTCATTAGATCAGGTTAATTCAAATTGTGAAGATTAACTGAATTGCATGTTTTGATTTGTGAGGGAGATTTTAGGATATTTTTCTCATTTTAAAATACAGGCTTTAGAAAAACCTATATGAAAGGACGTTTTTCAAAATACTCAGTTTACATATCCTAATCCATATAGCATAAGGACAGCTCTGGGGTCCCAGCCACTCGCTCACTATCATTGTGTTACATGAACCAGGGCCCATACAGTGTTTCTTCACATGTTCGCGGATATATACTAATTCGACACATTGACGTTCTAAAATGGTGAATTTAAACAGTTCTTTACATTTGTGTAACTTTTGTTTATTGTAGTCTTGTTCTTTTCCAAAAAAGCCGCAGTCAAAATTTGACGGCGTGTCCGTTCCACAATGACAGCTGACAGAAGTCCAAGGATTAAACAAAAACAGGCAGACCCGCTGTTCTAAAATATGTCTACGAGCACCATCTACTAACAACATATAGGATGACATTGCGAATTAATTTGATTGCAATGCACTAAATATTACTAAATAAATTATTGGATTTTAGATGTTATTTTATATTTTTTAAGAGATTTATTTTACCAGAAGTGGAACTGTATAGTTTGGATAAGCGATCGGGGACGGATTTAATGAACGTACCCATCTGGGTCATCGAATTATGGGTCAATAATAATGCTTATTTTATTTTGTGTGCGTGTTAATTTGCTTAATTCAAGATATTTCAACCGTGCAACACAGCATCCAGTTAAATGATTTTACATTATGTGGAGGACAATGTGTCCCAAACCTCCGTGGTTTTTGTCTTCGATTTCCGGTCGCAGTGGTTCGGAAAGTGTACTACGGCAAAGCTCTATGAAAGGCAAGGTAATTGGTTTAAAGTTACTTACTGTTCGGCAAATGTACCATGTTATTAATTTTGTGATATTGGAATGGCCGTATAGGGCACACATTTGATTTAAAGTAAAATTGATAATAAAAAAAAGGTTAAAACTGTTGATTTCTGTGTTCAGCTCGGCTTGCTCTTTTCTGGGTTGTTTTACACACAGTTTCCACCAGGTGGCGCTGATGTATTGAAATATTAAATCCTGTAAAATCCATCTATACAGAATATTAACTTCAAAACCTGAGTTTTTTTTCTTTTAAACTAATCAAAGAACTAGATTTGTTTGTGGTGACCCCGAGATGCAAAACTAGAATCAATTTTATGAAAATATAATTGATTCCTTGAACCATAATAAAGATATATAAAAAGTCAAACAAAATCTCTGATGATGCAAACAATCTCTTCTGCATTTATTACGTTTTATAAAAATGTAATAGAAATATAGCTTTAGAAAATAAACTTATTTTAAAACTTAACCTAGTAAGAGGGTCTAAGATATTTTTTATGATTTTTTTTGTCACTTGTGACTGTTTTCAGGCAGAAAAAGTTTAGAGGGAGAAATTTAGGTTGTCAATGTAGACTTCAAAAGGGTGCGTAGAGTAGTATTAACCCCCATGTAAAATGTCTCTCCTATAGATCTTCCTTATCTAGAAACTTTGTGTATGACATTAAACAAAGCCCAATTTCTTCTAGATATGCTCCTAAAGGGAAATACAAGAAAACAGATCAGGAAGTAAAGTAATTGTTTTTTGAGCTTCATAACCTATAAAATGAGTAAAAATGGGTCACAGCTCATTAATAGAAAAACAACCCACATCTACAGCTATAGCAGTATTTTAAAGATTATAAAAGCTAAAAAAGAACTCTGAAACTGTGACACTCTTTGATAGTTTTTATAGTCATGTATGAGTCACTGATGTCTTTCATTTTGGGTGACCAGCGACCCCCCAATATTTGAAATGTAAAATTGGTTTTATCCTCTGATCTTATCTACCTCTGTAAAGGGCTGAGTTACACAGTTAAAACCAGTTTGCACTATAATATAATACTTATAATATTGTTTCATGTTTTTCAATAAAACAAGATTTGAATATCAAAGGTTATTGTATATTATATTCGGTACATATCCAGCTGTAAATTCATAACACTAGTGATCTATATATTATATTCATTATTTATAATGGTATTCATCTCTATACTCATTCAGTAGAAACCCATGTCCTGTATTTATGGAACCATTATTTATCCTGCACTTGCTGCTATTGCACTATTGGTTAGACCTAAACTCGTTGCGTTGTACCTGTACATGTGTAATGACTATAAAGTTGAATTGAATCTAATCTAATCTTAATTGCTACCAGTTAGACGAAAAAAAGTATCAGCCAAAATCAAGGTCAGCTTGTCAAGCTTTTAAATGGTTGACAATTAGCCATAAAACGGTAATGGTCACCCCCCAGTCACCATGTCATCTTTTGTGAGTAACCCTATTCAGAGTGCCAACATTTTACAGGATGCTGTCTCTTTCCTAGGTAAGAAAAACATGTAAAAGCAAGAAACTCCCATGTCCGTCAGTTCTCAACCATTTTGACCAACAGTACAGCGAGGAGCTGGGGGACTTGTGGGCACCTGCAAGGTGAATTTATCTTTAATGATTTTCCAGCTCACTATCCATCAGTACTTTAACTGTCCTTCCCGGACTCTTTTTTCTTTTTCTTTTTTTTTTTTTTTGCTCTGCAGGGCAGTGCTGCTGGACCCTCCATCATGGCAGTATGGGGTCATGTTAAACCGCTTCAGCTCTGTGGCAGACATCACACAGCTTCTTCTAGCTCAGGGGTTTTCATTGTTGCTGCCACAAACAGATGTCTCGAAGCTGCCTTATAATAATGCCTCCTCTGTGTCTAATTCTACACATCAGAAAGGAAAAGGCACTCTGTCACATCTCTATTTCTCAAAGTGCCCTCCTGAGGACTTAAGTCTCCAACCCTTCATTACCTACCATGCATCCAGTCAGCCCCATCAGTCAGAGCTTCCTCTCAATTTTCCTCAATCCTCATTACAATGTTACATCCACCTACACCCCCTGCGATTTCCCTCCCAGCCTCACCGGCCTGGCCAGCTGAAGCAGTACTACCTCCTGAATGCTGCCTCCCTTCTTCCAGTTCTAGCTTTGCAAGTGAGAGATGGGGATAAAGTTTTGGATTTGTGCTCTGCTCCTGGGGGCAAAGCCGTTGCCATAATGCAAAGTGCAACTCCAGGTAACACATCGTTAAGAAGAGACTTTCATTATATCATGAAAAAAAATAAGCTTCAATGCAATTATAATAAAGTTGCTTTAATAAAAGATGGGTACATTACTGTCTGCAATAATTGACCTGTATAGTAAGTGTTTTTTATTGACTGATTTTTTCAATCAGATGAAATAAAACATTATTTATCACGTCGTTTGACAAGAGAGATGTGTTTTTATGTTAAGAGCAATAAAAAAAAAAATCAGTCAAATGCGTTTCCTGTCTTATTAACCACAGAGAATCAGTAATTCTGCCTGGTATGTTGTAGATCTTCTCTGCTGTAATGAGCCAGACCCTCACAGACGGGAATGGCTGGCTAAAACCCTGGAGTCCTTTCTGCCTGCCTCCCTGAGCAGCAGAGTGATGGTGTCTGCACAGGATGGCCGGTCCGTTGGGCAAAGTGAAAGCGGCTTTTATGACAAGGTGAGCAACGAACACCTGATATGTTAATGGAACTAGCAATTAAATTTTTTCTCCACATCCAACAAATTAGGGTGATACACTTTGATTTTTTCCAATTCTATGCCAACAATGCAAAGAGAGCAGCAATCCTTTGAACAGAAGCTAATAAACCCAGCAGAAAAGAAGAAAAGCATTTATTCAAAACAGAAATTCAGACAAAACAGACAATGGCTGCAAGGAATCAGAGAATTCAAACAGGTCAATAGTGGAACAGGGTTATAAAAAAAAAGAAAATAGAGAATTGAAGGCTTAGCTTTGCTGTGAGTGTCTCAGGGTAAAAGTCACCGATTTCTCTGCTTTGCTTTATATATGAAATCCCTGGGAAGATATGGTGGGACAATTCTGAAAAAAATATTTATCATAAAACTTAGGAATCAGTTTTTGAGGTCGTTATAAATTAAACCATGTTATTTACGTTTAAAAAAATAAATCAAATGTAAGTATATGTAGAAAAAAAATTAAAAATAAACAAAAAATAAATGAATATCAACAAATTAATAAATTAATGTATACCGGTAAGTAAACCTATAATTGCATTAAATATATATATATATATATATATATATATATATATATATATATATATATATATATATATATATATATATATATATATATATATATATATATATATATAAAAAAATAACCAAAGTCTTTATTGTCATTATGTCTCTATAATGGCATTGTGCAGAAAAACCAAGACATAAATTTAATCCACCTGTAGAAAATCGAAGAACAAGGCATTAGAGGAGACATGAAAATATAAAAACTAGTATTGTTACTGACGGAGCTCCTGAATTAAAATGTTGTTTTGCAAAATTTTGAGGAAATCACTGAAATCAGGGGTTTCCTGTAATATTCAGGAAATGTTCAGACTTCTGCACCTGTTAACAGGTATGTTGGTTCATGCTTCATGAGCAAGGCACTTTCGTTTTTCTGGGGCAGTTTTTATTTTTGTAGAATTTTCTTTCCAAACAAAAATTTTAAATCAATATTTTATTCTTAATAAATAATAATTTAGTTAAAAAAAAAATTGTTATAACTTTTTTCACTTGTGTGTTATTTGAATTACTAGTGTGAATTTATGATTTTCTTTAATGGTAGGTATATAAATTTTCAAGCACAACTTTACATAGAAAGTTTCATGTAGTTTTTAGTGTTCATATAAAGTGCAGTTTGTGCTGAAAAAGTCTGATATGGTCTGGAGGTGGTTTGATTTCCAGCAGGGATGCTTTGTGTCTGCCAGCAGGGGGAAGACTGCCCTTTACAGCTGTGGGAAAGAAACTGTTCCTGAATAATTTCCCCGATGGCACTGGAACAACCAGAGCAGTGATTTTCTCACCTGTTGATGAACTTCAGGACCAGTATCTCAGAAAGGATGTCGTTGAGCTAAAATCTTCTAATAGTGTCCTAATGATGTGTTTGGATGCTGCAGATCAGTCAGTGCTAACAATTCTAGCTAGGGTGGTATGTTTGGCACAATGATGGAGAACTTCGGGCATGCAGGGACCACAGAAAGCTGCAGGTTGGGGTTAAAGATGTTTAGAAAACTCCTGCAAGTTAGTCCGCACATGATTTTACCCCATGTCTGGACCCGAATCCTTGTTGGTGTTAATCTTTCCTTTAATGTAGTCCACTGGGTGCAGCCGCAGGATGAGAGGCTGAAGCTGCACCTCTTGCAGAAGTAGATGTGCAGTCCATTCGCTGCTTGATGAGTCAAACTGAGCAAAGAAGCTGTTTAAGGTGTGAGGAAGGGCTGGGTCATGGCAGGGCTGCTGGTTGCTGTGCTTATAATCTTTGATGGACCCGATGTTTCTGCACATACTGTGTGAGTTGTGGCTCCTTGATGCTTCAACTTGTGCTTTTTCCTGCTTGATGCCCTTTTTCAGTTCATGCCGAGCCCCGCTGTAGGTCAGAATGTCTCCTGATCTGTAAGCTGCAGCCAGTGCCTTTATGCTTGACACTGATCTCTACTGATTGTTTCTGGTTTGGAAAAACTGCTTTAGTGGGTAAAGCAGGGTCGGAGCGACAGTGATTGTAGGCCAGCACAGATTATGTGTATTTCTCCAGATCAGTGGAGTCTTTTACACTGCAATCTAAAGAAGTAATTTCTTCTTAAAATAAAGTGCATTTTTTTTCTTGAATTTAGGAGATAAGTGAGACACTCTGTCAATGGGACAAGACAATTTACATTTAAAATAAGAAAAAAACAGTTGCATTGTCTTATTGCAAGTATGTATTATCTAATTATCTTATTTTAAAATAATCATTCCATTGGCAAATCATCTTATTTACCTTCTCAAATTAAGGGTTAATACAGTTAAAGGTATAGGGGAGGATTTATGTGAATAATAAAAAAAAAAAATTAACATGCAAAGCCCTGTACCGGCTCCTGAGAGGGAACGCCTATTAAACAGGTGCGAGAAAGTGCACAAGCCCTTTTCTTCTTGTGCATGCACTGTTTGCATCGCTCATACAAGCTTACTTTCCAAAAGAAGATTTGCACTATGTCAGACTCACAGCAGGTAAGTGAAAATGGGGTTGAGCACATAGGACGGCCTTACGTAAACATATCACCAGAAAGATTGACAATTAGGAGAACCACTTATTTTGATGATCCACCCTAAAAAAGAAAATCCTCCACTATACCTTTAATTTAAGAATTTTTTAAATCATTTCTAGATCATTTTTGCATTCTAAAAAAGGATAACAAGATAAATTAGGATTTAACTTGTTTTGTAAAAGCATGCATCTTAAATTGCTAATAAAGTAGATTATTATCTCATAATTTTATATTTGAAAAAACCTTTAACCTCCTAACAAAAAAAAAAAGAAAAAACACACACACATTGTACAGTGTATTGGGTTGTTCCACATAAAAATCTTTATGTTCCACAAAAAAAAATATGGTTCCCACAATGAAAATCCTTCTAAATAAAAAGGCAAATCCGCAGCTTAACAAAGTAAAATGTAAAATAGGAGTCAGTGAACTGAAAGCTGAATGCTTTGAAAACACTTTACGTACCATTATAGGAAATGCAAACACCATTTAATACCAAAGCAACAAGATCACTGGAAGAGCAAGGTATCAGTTCCCAAATCGGCATTATGAAAGTAGATGATTTATTACAGCTAGGTTGAAAGATGTAATGACGACGTTCTAAATAAAGCAATGAAATTGCTGCATTCAGTGAACAAGCAAGGACATGTTTGGTAAAAGACTTTGTGTTTTTGTACTTTTTGTCTTATTTCATAAATCCAAATTAGGTTTTAGCATGATTAAAGGATTATCCAGGATTACACTGATAAAGACAAACTTGCTGCTGAGAGAAGCATGTAAAAAGTGTGGTTTCCCACAAAAATAAACTACGGTCAAATTAAGAGCAGATCTCACATGCTCTCAAGTCCTGTATTTTTGAAACCAGCTTCCATTTCTAAAATAGTTTTCAAAGATAACATTAGATTTTACTTTGGTCTCCCTGATATCTTGAATTGTAATTCTTTTTGTATTATGTGTCACAGAGGACAAATGCTTAAAAGCAGAATGTGTCGTCTCATCGTTTTTGTTTTTCTAGTCATTACAAAACTAAAGAAGAGGGAAGTTTGCCTTTAGGAGTGGATTCATGCTCAGTTTTGTGCCAACCATGTAAAAGTTAAAAGGCTGCCATCATCTTAGTCTTACTGCTTCCTTTAGAGGGCTCCCCAGCAGATTATCCACCCTGTCCCCAACGTCTGCCTCGGTCACAGCTTCCTTTCTTCTTCCTTTTTTCATCCTCTGAACTCACTCCATGTTTAATGTCCTTTGTCCACTGGACCCGCTACCTTTTCTCTGCACATTTCCAAATCGTTTCAGCTTCTCCCCTGCAATTTAGTTCTTTTTCATCCACATGTTTCTGTTCTGATGCAACCCTCCAACTTATCCAGGCTTGGAACCAGCCCCAGGAGTACACTTAACCTCTTCATTTTAGCCATCATTGACTTCTACTTTGATAACTGAGCTAAGCATAGATTAATTGAGTATTTTTTTTAACACACCTAATGCTAAATTGTGATTATCGAACATTGTTTGATCTTTTGCTCCTACTCTTTTTTTTTTTGTCCCAAGGTTTTAGTTGATGCTCCATGTTCTAATGACAGGAGCTGGCTGTATTCTAGTGACAGACACCGGGGGCAACAGAGACTGGAACACAGAAGCAGGCTGCCTTTGCTACAGGCTCAGCTTCTAAGGTAAACCCAACACCAGACTCAAATTACCTGCAAGGTGTACTGCTGCTTCAGAGCTAAGACATAACAGATGGAAGCTTTGTACGATGTACAATCGATAAAGTGTGATTTATATATATAAAAAAAAAAAGATGAAACACGGTTTGCCTGCCTCCTATAGGTCTGCCATATCTGCAGTGCGTCCAGGGGGTGTTGTCGTCTACTCAACCTGTACACTGTCAAGCTTGGAGAACAGTGCTGTAGTGGAGACGGTGCTGAATGACTTTCCTGATGCTGAAGTTGAAAATCTGTGGGAGGAGATTGCTTTGCCCCTGTCAAAATACTTTGCTTTTATTTCACTCCCTGGTCATGCAGGAATCGATCCCCAGCCATTCCTTTGCCCACAGAATGTCAGTGCATCCTGCTCTCATCATAGGCTCGGCATTCTGGTCGTTCCACAGCCTGGCAAGGCGTGGGGGCCGATGTTTCTGTCTCGAATTAGAAAAAAGGGATAGAGCTAAACCTCCAGAGACACAAGGACATGCCAAATCTCACCGCTCTAAGTCAGACACTGTAGGAGTGTCTGACTTAGTGTTCCAGCACTTATTTCAGGATAAACTGTACAAAGTAGTTTAGATGTAAACACGAAGGCAAAACTCCAAGTGTCAGAGCTGCTGTGTCCAAGTTAAGGTTAACGAGTACTATGAGTGGGCTGGGTGAGTTGTTATATTTCACCAACCAATAAAACCAAACATTCCTCATATTGTCACCTCTACCAATCCTCATCAAGGACAGATTGTTTGCTAAATGCATGTAATCAGTGTTTGAGACGAAAATGCAGCAGTTTACAATGTAACAGCAAAGAAGCTGCCTGTTCAGATAAAGCAGCAGCAGCTTCTTACTGAGGTTATTAGGATGGTTTTATTTAAGGAATGTTACAGCTCACTCGGTTTTCATCCGGTCTGAACATGGACCAGAATGACTGTTTTTGTCTGGATCAAAAGGATTTATGTGAAGCATTAGGTATCCCCAGAAGCTGGAAAACACCTTTAAAGCAGGTACAAAGAAGAGGGATTTATTCATAAACTCTGCAGTTGAAGCATCATGCTGCTCTATAGTAGACAGAAATAGCAGCACTTGGATAACAAGCTCTTATTCCTACCTTTAAAGTGGATAGCAGGATGTCCTCACTTGTTTTCCTTTGGAGTTCAAACTTTGAAAGTTGTGTTGCTGAAAACTCTTCTTCCTCATTTCCCAATCAGCTGTCTTCTTTTTTTGTTAGATATTATTAAGAATTTATTTAAGCTGGAAACTTGAACTATTAGAAAACACATACCAATAATTAATAACTTATCTAATGGAAAAGATAAACACAGATGGATTGTCTGCATTCAAATCGATTCACAAATCAAGGAAACTACTATTTTGGCAGTTGTTTTGATATGTAAAAGCAAAAAACAGAGTAATGATGTAAAATTATTTTATTTTACAGGCATAAATTGTGCTTTTGTAAAACTTCTGTTAGCAAATGTGAATATTTTTCTTATTTCTAGTACATCTGAACCCTCCAGAACAACTAATATAGTTGATGAGAAAACATGGAATCCATAATTATAGGAATATAAATAACCCTTGACTGCTGCTTGAAAGCACCTCCTGAAGCACCCCACACAGGGCACCATGAGAAACACCGTCAAATGCCTTCTCCAGGTCCACAAAACACATGTGGACCAGTCAGGAACGCCCAAGAACCCTGCAGAGAGTGTTGAGCTGTTCCAAAGCCAGGATAGAAACCACACTGCTTCTCCTGAAGCATCAACCAGACTCTCCTCTCCAGCATCCTGGATAGGCCTTACTGGGGAGGCGGATTTGGAACAGATCCGCCTTCTGACAATCCAGGGGTACTGTCCCTGACCTCCACATAAGAGGTGTTTCGGAAGACGGTTGATAAATTTTTATGTATCCTTGAAGATGTATTTATAGGAAAAACAGAAATGTCACAAAGAGCCCCTGATAATCATGATTCATGAATAACACAAGTTTTTTGTTTTGTTGCTCAGTAATATTACATCTACCAGGTCTGTTACTAAACCACTCCTCCTTTTGGTGAGGCTGAGAGACGATCGCATCACCTCTTGTGGGTTATTAAGAGGATGGACTGCACTTGAGCCCTGCTTGAGCAAAAAAATAGACACAGTTCTATCATATTGCTGCAGCCCTTTATTATTCTGGAATGCTTGTGGGACGAGAAATGTTTGGGGTTTATAATAAAATCTCCATAAGGGTAAAGTCATTAAAAAGATCGATGAAACAGGAAATCTAGAAGAGCTACCCAATAGCTTCATCCAACGGTTCCTTTTGGTCATATTGGTTCAAGCAGTCATTGCTCTACTTATTTGTAGACTCTTCTACTTTTTCTTTCCATTCTTTTGTTTCAGACTTTTTGTATGATAATATGAGATCACCATTACACCACATCTGCAGAAACACAAATTTAAAGTGGTGAGATGATGTGGAGCTTCATGGGGGTTAACTATATTGCTGACCTTTAAGTGAACCCTGGTTTGTTGATGTTCCCCATATTGCCGCGTTTCCTCAAGGGCAGAATCTCTAAGCAGCTTTTCCTCCACTTCAAAGGGAGCAAATGTAGGCCTGCTTTGCATAATCAGGTGGAGAGCCGCGTTTTGCCAGAGAGGCAGGAATTAATTTGTGGCACCACCAGATGTAATCATTAAAACCTTAGTCATTGACAATAAAGGGAGAAGAGGAGGGAAAATTAGAAAAGGAATTGTAGAACAGTAAATGGAATTAGAAAGCAATGTAGAGCGCGGGATGGTGCTGAATGCCAGAGGAAACCATCACAAAGCAGAATAATCTGAGCTCAGCGCGGAGGGTAACATTCTCTGTTAGGACATGCTGGCATGACTTCAATCCTTACTTTGCTCCTCACATTTTACTCTGTGTGTTCTATCATCCTGGCAGTGCAGAAACATTTAGAAAAAGGGTTAACATATTAACATATAACATATTATTTTGTTAACATGTCAACAAAAATACAAAAAAAGCCACTTGGTTGTCTGGTTGGTTTCATGTCACTCACGGCCTGTGAAGACATTTTATTAAATTAAGGAACAAGAGGGTTTTATCAGAAAAGAAAAGCACCTTACATGTAGTTCTGTTCAGGACAACATAAACACTTAAATGTATCCTGGACAATTCTTCATCTTTTAGCGTTCGTGTTTTGCTTTTATCATAAATTAAGATGTAGGCCTACTGTACATTCATCAGAAACTTTGTGTAAAACACATTGACAGTCCCTTGGACTTGTTTTCCCCTTCAGAACTACCTTAACTCTCCCTGTTATCAGTTCAGCAATGTGTCTAATACATTGCTCAGAGATTTTGGTCCATATGGACCCGATGGCAGTCACTGGATTAGTCAGCTCCCATCCATGATGCAAATTTGCCATTCCACCACATCCCAAAGGTGAACTATTGGATTGAACTGTTCTTCACTACATCAAGCTGCCTGAATCTATTGAGTTGCTGCTGTGTGTGTCTGATTGTCTGACATCTGATGTGCTGTTTGTAAGAATTTTTAAGGTGAAGTTTTTGACATTGAATATCATGGACAGCTAACAAGTGAGTTTATAGATTTAGTGCCTTTTGGGGTATCCATCGCTCATTTCAAAAGTCATTTGTCAATATTCCATCAGTGAAAATGAGAGCAAGACTGTGGCTCTTGATTGATTGTTATGCTACTTTTCTTGAAGGGAAAGATAAGATTGAACCCATGCTGGGGCTAATAAGACAGTGTTTTTCTCAATCTGTAAGGAAAAAAAATTGTGTTAGAAAAATAAAATATCCTAAATAATATTTCCTATCTACTAACAATAGTTTTAGAACCTTTTAAAAAACCCAGACATGAGTGTATAATGCCCCTAAAATACAATCCAACAAAGGAAATGGGTTTCAATCTAAAGGTGCAGCACCAGACAGCTTAAAATACATTTTATCAAGTCATCATTACGTGACGCAATACTTATGTGTAATTCAAATAATCCTTTTGATCAGAACCAATGTTAGGATTTAATGCCAAAGATTTGATGGATGAGGAGGAAATTTCTTTTCTTCTGTTTTATGGCCTGGAAATAAAGAACATCCGATCCCATCAATGTCAGCTCTGACAGAAAACAGCAGAGGAAAGTTAATAGGACAGACTAGAAAGGGTAGTTGAAACACCTTCAAGATAAAAGAAAGGAACAGAATTTTTGCTGCTTTAATCTGCTGTTTGTCATGTATGGAAGGAAAAGAAGGAATTTTTTTGTCTCTCTTAAGACCCTGAGTAGAAAGGGCGGTGATCTAGCTTGATCTCTTTCATCTGCAGCAAAACACTGGAAGCTCAACTCAAATGACCATTGTCAGGTGCTGCAATATCAGCAGGATTCTGGTATGAGGTTATTTTAACTATTGAATGCATAAAGAAGATTGATCAAAACAAAAGATTCAAGTTCTGTAATTAAATGCATGGATGTGTCTAAACAAAATCAATATAAGTTACTCAGAAACTTGTATTGTCTGACATTCATGCATTTCTTTCATGCAACAAAGCACTAGTTGAAAACTACTCAGGAAGAAAAATTAGGGGAGTGTCGGCCTTGTGGTTGGAGCATAGAGCTTGGAATCCTGAGGTTGTGAGTTTGAAACCCACTCCCAAACTCTGGGTCTCTGAACAAGACCCATAACTCCCGTTTGCTCCCAGGGCGCCCCAAAAGGGTGGCCCACTGCTCCCTAAGGTGATAGGTTAAATGCTGAGGGTTCATTTTGTTGCTTTGTACTTGTTACAGTGTAATGACAATAAAATGCTGGGAAAAAAAAGAAATCAGTTTATTTTCAGGACAGTTACAGTGAAATGTGGACTATCACAGTGCATAGAGCAATATGTAGCTATAACTGCAGTCTTAACATTTTATTGATAGTGTCGTCAATCCTGTTATGTTTAGCATCATAGTAGAATGGTTTTTATTGGACTGCTTTTTATTGGACAGTTGCTTGCTTATTTAGAGTTGTCTTATGGACGTGTAGCTGCTTGTTGGGGAAAAAATAAAAACAACTCAAAGCTCTCCTTTGCAGATAGCAAAAGGGAGCTTGATTTTGAAGTGGTTGGGCAGTTTAATTGGATTTACACTTTAGTGTGCAAGAACTTTAGTCCTTAGGATACTGAACGTTGTTCACAATGATACTGGAAAACGGACATAGAACGAAAAAGATCTTAGTGCTTTACCTGAAAGGAAGCTGTTGGTAGTTTTTCTACCGCTCCTGTGGCATATTCATTCCGCAAATAGTAAATGGCTTTCCTAGTGGTGAGGGTTCTATGCAATAAACACTTTACAACAACTATGACTTAACCATTAGTGGTGTAGCCAGAAAACAGGCAGTGGCCGAGCAGAGACCAACATGCACTAAGGGGTGGCCAGAGACTGATTGACAGTTTAGGGTCAGTCTACACAAATCACACTGTACCACCATGAAAAGTATTGAACAAAACATTCTTATTTTCAAAATAAATCAATAAAGATGGACTAGATTTTCACAAAACCCTTGCTAATAAATCTCCACACTTATTTCTACACATATGCTGTCTGAATCTGTCATTGTTCTGCATATTGTGTACATTACAGGGGTCGAGCAGTTGTTCTTTACTCTAATTTCAAAGAAGTCTCTTAAATGACTGTGAGACTCATTACTCCTCATTCTTTCCCATGAAGCACAAACCTGGTTCTAAAAAGAGCATGAGTTCTGTTATTGTTTTATCTAATGTTATATGTATAATGTTGGGCTATAATGTTATATGTGTGATGTTATGAGCTGGAAAGCTCTTGAACTCCAATACCCAGCATGCAACAGGGCATGGCGTCACGGGTTGGAGGTCAGAGCGGGCTGCGGTTCGGGATGTAGCTTGCTACTGGATGGTTCTGTGAAGTTCTAAATAAATATACAGAACAAGCATACACGCCTCGTCTCTTATAGAAACGAAGAACAACACATGGTGTCAGAAGTGGCCGTTGGCAGTCACGGAATGAAGATTTGCCACGGGAGAGCCACACGGTAGAAAGATAAAAAGAGGAAGAGAGCAAAAGCTCGCAGCGCAACAGGCTGCGGCAGTTTTTCTTTTTTTTTTTTCTTCTCCACGAAGGCGTGTAGTGGCTGCAAGCAGTGGAAGTGAAGCAAGGGGACGAGGTACGGACTGAAAAAAAAAAAAAGAGGATCTAGTACCTGAATTGGAGGACAGCTACCGCAGAGAGAGGGTGGTGGAAGTCTCGATACCCCGACGTCATGGATAAGCTAAGTCCACCCACTGCTATGCAATTGACTGGTAATCTTGCTGATAACTGGAAACGTTTCAAGCAAAGATTTAACATATATCTAACAGCAAGCGGTGCAGGAGCTGATGATGAGAAGCTAAAAGCCAACATACTTTTGCATGTGATGGGAGAAGATGCTTTGGACATATATAACAGTTTCCAGCTGGACGAAGCTAATATCACGTTAGCACAGCTAATGGAAAAGTTTGAAGAATATTTTGTGCCTAAGCAGAACGTGACCTTTGAGAGGTACAAGTTTTTCACTCATAACCAGAAACATGGACTTCCTTTTGATCAGTACTTAGCAGAGCTTCACACATTAAGTAAAACATGTGAATTTGGCAATCTGAGGGACTCGTTAGTGAGAGACAGGATTGTTTGTGGCACTGTGGATAATGCACTTAGAGAAAGACTGCTCAGAGAAACTGGACTAACATTAGATAAGTGTGTCACTATGTGTAGGGCAGCAGAAACTACACGAGCACAAGCAAAAGAGCTACGGAGAGATGAAACAACAGTGCATGCAGTGCATAAAGAGCAGATGAGAAAAAAGACATTTACCAAACAGAAAGAGAAATCTGCAGAATTTAAATGTGGTAAATGTGCAGGCACTCACAAACCAAAATCTTGTCCAGCATATGGAAAATCCTGTAACAACTGTGGGAAAAGCAATCATTATGCAAGATGTTGCAAAGCTGCCGCAAAGAAGAAGGTTCACGCAGTTGATGAAGAAGACGAGGATGATAGTGAGTTCATAGTGGATGTGGTACAAGCATGTGCAACAGAAAAAGAGGAATGGATAATGCCAATCAAAGTAAATGAGACAGTTATACCATTCAAGTTAGACACAGGTGCACATGTAAACCTGTTATCATGGGAGGATTATAAAATTATGACTGTAAAAAGCAAAATTCATCCCATAAAAACAAAAGTGACAGGATACACTGGAGAACGCATACCTGTTAAAGGTGGGTGCATCGCAACCTTTCAACACAAAGGTCAGCAGATACAGGCGCAGCTGCTAATTGTGGATGCAAATGTGCAACCAATCCTAGGACTAAAGACATGTACAAAGCTCAATCTCGTCAAAAGAGTGTTTGTAGTGACGTCACCAGGTACTGTGAATGACCATGACTCACTCATGGAGGAATATAAAGACTGTTTTGAGGGACTTGGATGTTTACCTGGAGAACATAAAATATGTGTGGATAAAAGCGTGTCTCCTGTTGTACATCCGTGCAGGAAGATCCCGTTTGCACTCCGGAACAAACTGAAAGAAGAACTGGTGCGCATGGAAAAACTGGGAGTCATCAAGAAAATAGATGAGCCAACTGAATGGGTAAGCTCGCTGGTCGTTGTGCAAAAGAAAACAGGTGCTTTGAGAACTTGCCTGGATCCAAGAGATTTAAACAAAGCAATCAAAAGAGAACATTTTAAGTTACCAACCAGAGAAGAAATCATGGCACAGTTTGCTGGAGCTAAATGGTTCAGTAAACTGGATGCTTCATCAGGTTTCTGGCAGCTAAGGCTAGATGAGGAGAGCTCAAGGCTGTGCACGTTCAACACACCTGAGGGCAGGTACAGGTTTCTTCGTCTGCCGTATGGTATCCTATCAGCACCTGAAGTCTACCATAAGACTATTCACATGATTTTTGAGCACATACCAGGGGTAGAAACAATGATGGATGACATCATAGTCTGGGGGTCTACTCGTGCAGAACATGACGAAAGGCTGAGACAAGTTCTTGACAAAACAAGAGAAGTGAATCTGAAGCTTAACAAAGACAAATGTGAGTTTGGAGTTAAAACGCTTACATTTATGGGAGACGTTGTCAGTGAAGAGGGAGTTAAGCCTGACCCAAGAAAAACATCAGCAATCAACAACATGGAAACACCAAAAAACAAAGATGAAGTCAGACGATTTCTAGGCATGGTTACCTATCTGGCTAAATTTGTCCCACAACTGTCAGCGCAGTCAGCACCTCTCAGAATTCTTCTTGAACAAAAGAATGAATGGGTCTGGTCCCATGAGCAGGAACAATGTTTTCTGAAGCTGAAAAAGATTTTGACACAGGAACCTGTGTTACAGTTCTACGACCCAGAGAGAAGCACTAGGATCTCGGCAGATGCGTCACAGTTTGGCCTTGGAGCTGTGCTGCTACAACAACATGATGGGCAGTGGCTTCCGGTCGCCTATGCATCTCGAGCCTTGACCAGTGCAGAATCCAGGTACGCACAGATAGAAAAAGAGCTGTTAGCAAGCTTATATGCCTGTGAGCGTTTCCACCAATATGTATATGGACAAGCTTTTGAAGTGGAAACTGACCACAAACCTTTGGTGTCCATCATGTCTAAGCCGCTGAACGACTGTCCGTTACGGATACAGCGAATGCTTATCAGGCTACATAAGTACGACGTGCACATGTTATACACGCAGGGTAAATACATGTACACCGCCGACACCTTGTCCAGGGCAGTGGATAAGGAGGAAAGTGCAGACAGCGAAAAGAGTGCAGAGATTCAAGCATACGTGGACATGGTCGTGTCGTCGTTGCCAATAACGGGTGACAGAACAGAGCAAATACGGAGAGAGACTAGTGCAGATGAAGTACTGAAAGAACTCAAGATCACAATTCAGAAAGGATGGCCAGAAAACAGAAAGGATTGCCCCATAACAGTACAAGACTACTGGAACTGCAGAGCAGAGCTCACTGTGGTGGACGACATAGTGATGAAGGGGAGCAAATTCGTAATTCCATCCTCTCTACGGAAGCAAATGCTCCAAAAGATACACGAAGGTCATCTGGGAGAGGTCAAGTGTAAACGTCGGGCAAGAGAAGTAATGTATTGGCCGAGAATCAACCATGATATCAGCCAGACAACAGCATCATGTGATCTTTGCCGCATACACAGGCCAAAACAACAAGCAGAGCCGTTGATGACTCATCCGGTGCCCCACAGACCTTACTACAAGGTGGGTACTGACCTGTTTGACTGTGATGGAAAAAGTTACATCCTGGTCACTGACTACTTTTCCAACTACCCAGAAGTCGGAGCGCTGCAGTCAACATCAAGCAAGGCAGTTATCAGCTTCCTAAAGACTGTCTTTGCCAGACACGGCATTCCATGTGAACTTTTTTCAGACAATGGGCCCCAATTTACCAGCTGTGAGTTTGAGGCCTTTGCTGAAGAATGGGGTTTTCAGCACAAAACATCGAGTCCAAACTACCCAAGGTCTAATGGCTTGGCTGAGGGTTCAGTGAAAATAATAAAAAACATGATGAAAAAAGCACAGGACAGAGACGACTTTCAAAAAAGCCTGCTGATCTACAGAAGTGCACCTCTTCAGAACGGACTATCACCAGCACAAATGCTGATGGGTCGACGCATTCGTTCCAACCTTCCGGTGAATGAAGACCTGCTGACACCCAAAGGTGCGCACAAAGTTACACAGCTGAAGGAGGAACAAAAAGCAAAACAAAAAAAGCTGCATGATCGGATGGCAAAACATCTTCCGATACTGAAGCTTGGAGATACGGTGCGTCTCAGGGACATCTCTACTGGCACCTGGAGAAAAAAAGGGCGGGTGGAGGAGGAAGTTGCACCACGCTCCTTCAGGATTCAAGTGGAGAATGGAACGTCTCTAAGGAGGAATCGCACAGATCTTCAACTACAGACGACTGGAACTGACATGGCAGCTCAGGAGATGGACCAGCAGGACCCAGCAGAATCAGGAGGGTTGGTTAGCAGTGGACTGACGGCAGCATCTGCATCACCTGCGGATGTGACACCTTCCCATGTGTCTACATCAGCAACTCCTGAAAGGCTGGCTAGGCCTAAGAGACAGATTCACCCTCCTAAGAGGTTAATTGAGAGTTGCTGAGGGCTTGCTTTGGTAGTGCAACTTACTTTAAAGACTTTATGTTTGTGTCATATTTGCAGGAAAAGGAACAGCTGAAATGTTGGAATGATAGAAGTTAATGTTGATACTGTTTCAAGTTAGTGTTTGGATGCATAGAGGCACTTGATAACGTTTGTTAAAAAAAAAAAAAAATGGTTTAAAGTGAAAAGTTGTTTACAGAAAATAGTTTTTTCTTATAGGTTAAATATTATTTCTTATAGGAGAAGGGATGTGATGTTATGAGCTGGAAAGCTCTTGAACTCCAATACCCAGCATGCAACAGGGCATGGCGTCACGGGTTGGAGGTCAGAGCGGGCTGCGGTTCGGGATGTAGCTTGCTACTGGATGGTTCTGTGAAGTTCTAAATAAATATACAGAACAAGCATACACGCCTCGTCTCTTATAGAAACGAAGAACAACACAATATGTAATGTATATTGATGTGAATAATTTATAACTAATTGTTTTTGTTGCCCTGCGATGGACTGTTGACCTGTCTATGGTGTGCCCCGCCTCTCGCCCGTAGACAGCTGGAGATAGGCACCAGCACCCCTCGCGACCTCACCTGGGATTAAGCGTGTCAGAAAATGGATGGATAATTGTTTTTGTCGGTAAATGTACTACCTGAAAAATCCAGTTGGAACATTCCACCTGAGAGTATCGCTGCTGCCACCCTCTGGTTCAGAGGGGAACTGCTTGTTCTGGAGGAGCTAAAGTATATTATATTGCATCCAAATTATTGCAGTCAGGTTTTTCTATGGCTAGGGATGTATAAAATCAAGCGCCTAGCCACACAGACTGTTTTTACAAACATTTGTGAAAGAATGAGTCATTCTCAGGAGTTAAGTAATTTCCAGCATGTAACAATGATAGGATGCCATCTATGCAATCAAATTCGGTTGTGAATTTTCCTCACTCCTAAATATTCCACAATCAACTGTTGGTTGTACCATAAGAAAATGGAAGTGATTGGGAATGACGGCAGCTCAGCTACGGAGTCTCAGGCCGAATAATGTGTTGGAGTCAGCTAACGCTGAAGTTCAGAGTGTGAAGAGGTCACCAACTTTCTGAAGTCAGTCACTGCACACCTCCAGCCTTTCTTGTCCAACATCAGTGTGTAACCTCATGTGCTTTTGGAAGAATGGTCAAAAAATCCATAAACACACTGTGGACAGTTTCCCCACCAAAAATGGAAGCAGTTTTTGCTGCAAAGGATGGTCTGACATCATAATAAACCCGTTTCAATTAGGAATGGGATTTACTTAAGCTCATATGTGTCAAGGCAGATGACAATATAGTATATGTTCCTCTAATAGTAACAAATCTTAGAGTAGTCAGTGAGTGACTGTAGTAGGCCATGGCCACCCCGTTACCCCTTCTAGCACTGCCCCGTTAACCATTTTAACTACTTTTTGTGCAGTATTCAATGTCTGGGGAAAGACATTCCAAAATTAACAATCACTTCCTGCATGTCTTCCAGAAAAGTCTTGCTTTCGGAAAGACTAGAGGTAGATGTAGGTAGTGGATTTCTTTACCAACTTTTAGTGTGTTTGTAGTTTTTGTATTCTATCAAACTTTGCTCATGATTCTAGGTGTAGAAAAAAGAAAATCAATGACATATCAGGTCTGATTGCAGTGTGGCCCCTAGTAAACTGTAGCAACAGAGATGTTTTTCTGCTGATTTCTCTTTTGAAACACTTCTACGAGCCTCTGCAGCTGCCAGGAAGGAGACATCCATAACAGCGGCACCACAAGACAAAGCACAGGCTTAACAGAGTGAAGACAGGACAGATTACCTTGGCCTAGACATTCATTCATCCTTTGAAGAAAAGACAGAATTGATCTGGAGATATAAAACTAAAGCCCTGGACAGAACTGCAGCAAAATTTGATTTAAGGGAAAACGACTGGGTCTTCTCAGCCTTAAGTATTGATGTTCCTTCCCAATTAAATACAAAAAAGAAAAAGTGACATCAGTGTAACATGGTCTGAATTAATGAAGCTTGAATATGAGCTTTTATGTTTCTGTGGGTTTAACAGTGTTGAAACTATTTTGTTTGGCAAAAAAGTGATAAAATTGCCCAAAAAAAAGGAGGCTTTGTTTTGTTATGTTTGAAAGAAAATGAACTCAAACTAAAGCTGAATGTTTTTTTTAAACAGCAGAGTCCACAGTTTTTACCCTATGGGACAAAGTTATTTAGCTACAGGAACTCAGTGGTCTGGTTAGTGCTAGGTTTGAATATGTACAGTCTGTGCTCTTTATATTCATGAACAAAAAAAGCATTTACAAGAATATGGAACATTCTGCAGATAATTGCAAGGCTGTAAATAATACTGAGTTTGTTGGAGAAAACATTGCTATAGTCTCTTAGAGCCACTGTAAGGGAGGACAAATGAAAAACATACTCATCCTTCACATATAGACTTTTTATTAGTGTTCTGCCGATGCCATTTTTTGGCCCCGATACCTGGCTGTGCAGTATCGGCCGATACTATCTGTTTGAAATTGATGTGTATGTGTATATATGAAGAACTGCATACCGGTACTACTTGGATGTAAAATAATTGCCGTCATGGCTTTATCAAGCTGCTGCCTACCTTTGTGAAGCAGAAAAAAGACTAATGCAAAGTGAATCCAGTAGAATTTTTTATTGCCTACCTGGAACTCAAAATGGTATCGGTGCCTTATTTGTTGGTACTAACCGATACCGATCAGAGCCCTTCCTGATACTGGTATCGGTATCTGTGCAACACTACTTTTTATTATGTCTGTTTTCTTTGACTTCTGCCATTCATACTAATATGTTAATATGATCTCAGAAATTCTCTCTGAACTTTTCATAATATTCAGCACCATAACTCCATATCAGGTGATGTTCCCAGAATTAAACATGCACTGAAGGCCTGTGTTAACTCTTGTTTGACCCCAGTGTGAAACCCTGTGATACATACACCCAGGGATAAAATCCAGTAAAGTTATCCCAGGACTCAGGCGCTTCATCTTAATTTTCCCTCTTCAAACCTTGCTGAAGTGGACACGCCCCGAGGAAAAGGAATGGCATGAATAAAACATCCCTCACCTTCTGGAGAAAAAAAAAGGAGAAAAGAAGTCAGTGAGGAGAATAATAAAGGTGCTCATTAAGACTGAAAGATTTCATACCAGTGTTTAGTTTCAGTCTTGAAAACATTAGCAGATCTTAATCGAAGCATGCCAAAGGTTATCGCTCCTCGCAATGAATTCTCACAGATTGATTTGAGGTATAATGGCGCCCTCCTGAAGCTTACCCTTACAATGCTCAGACTAAATATTTAACAGCCTATTCACATTTTGCGTCAGCACTAACCACTTACAGATAAAGCATTTATTATTCATATTCTGTGTGTATGTATGTGTGCAGCTTTGAGGCGTTGCAGCATGCCATATCTTCTGTGCTACTTTTCTCACATTTTAGCTTATATAAAAGTTGGGCATTTTGCCTTTGCAATCTGGTACTGACAATATTACAAGACCGCATCACTTTGGCTCTTCTAATTATATTACAATGATGTCTTACAATGTTCTTAAAAAAAAGTATGCAGGGGAATTTTATTAGCTTTTAATAGTTTCCTTCCCTACTAAACTGTATTTTACTGCTGCAGAAGCCTTATCCATTTTTTAATGCTTTTTTTAGAATACTGTTCTGGTTTTTATAATATTTGCTTATTTACGTTAAAGTGTAAAAACTATATTATGTATGACTGGCATAACTTAATGGTGGCAGCAGTCTAAACATTTAAGTAGGATTGGAAAAGGTTTGCCCCAGGGGCCATTAAAGTTTCTATAAAGGCACTTTAAAGACACAAAACAAAAATCTTAAGGGTTCATCCTTTGGGACAATTTAAGGATAATCTCTTTGCTGGAAGTCTCATAGAGGCAGTGAGGAAGTCTCTATACATTAAAATCTAAAGTAATGTGTTTATATATTTAGCACTTGTGTGAAACAGAAAAAAAATAAAAGGTGTTAAATAGAAAAATTAACAGATATAAGAGACAAGAAACAATAGAGCCATGGTGGCAGGATTTAACAGCAGGATTTAGATTAAAGATTAGTCTGATGGAAAAGGTTTTAATTTTTTTATTTCTATGCAGAGTCGTTTAAAAAAATTGTAAAACTCTAATTAAGACTTAGACAACTTTTTTGTCATTTTGTATGCACAGAGTGTATACAAAACTAAATTTCGTTATATACAGCTTACAACAGTGTAATGACATTACAGTTGGAGTAAGATAAAGATTACCAGAATAAAGTGCAGCAGTGATCAGAACGTAACAATGTAAGAGAAAAAGAAACCAGTTTAAAATAATGGTGCAAAAGGATTAATATAAAAAAGTTCATTGTAGAGCAAAATACAGTCGAAATTTGAGTTGTGTCCTATTTAAAATAATTATAAAAGTTCAGCAACGTTAAGCGCTTGTGATAAGGGGGAGTGAGTTTTTATATCTCTATGACTAAAGTTAAGTCCAGAATTTGACTAGGCCACAACAAACAAAAAAAAACTGAATAAAACAATAGAGGCCATGCATTTTTCCTGATGGCATTCACTTAGTTCTCTTTGAGCCGTAAAAAACATTTTTGGAAATGTGTCCAATAAACAGACAAATACATTAGTATACAGCTTCTATTACTAAATTAAAAACTTTAAAAATATTAGTGGTGTAAGTATTAGTTTTAGTAAGGCTGTGTACTCACACATCCATCGACTTTGCAGTGAAATTCATTCAGGGAACACAATTGCCCATATTGCCTTCCTGGGCTTCCCATGTCCTTTGCCTTCTGGCATCCAATATATATATATATATATATATATATATATATATATATATATATATATATATATATATATATATATATATATATATATATATATATATATATATATATATATATATATATATATATATATATATATATATATATATATATTTTGCAGTTTTTCACTCTTATTTTTCAACCATTGCTGTTTATGTTTCGCACAGCAGCTTGGCATTGCTCAATCATTGTTCTTCATTGCTTCTTAGACAAACTTATTATAATTTTGTATACAAAATGAAAATTCTTTTTGTACAGCTCACATGACATTTCCATTTTTCTTGAAGTGCAGCAGTGACCAAATTTAAACATTGTGGGAGAAAAAATACGGTGCAAAAAAACACATTGATATGGTCAGTTTGATACAGAGTCTGTGATATGATTTGCAGTTTTTCCAACAGTTCAGCAGTCTGATGGCAGTGGGGAGACGCTGTTTCGGAATCTGCTGGTCTTGCATTGAATGCTGCAACAGGGAGAACAGTCCATGGTGGGGATGTGAGGGGTCACTGATGATATTACGGGACACACAGGGCTGG